TCTGATTTGCTTTTGCTTTTTCTGAAAACTCTTCCTTCTCTTCTGCCCCCAGCAGGTAGTACAAATGGACAGTTCAGACCACTAAATGAAACCTGACTTGATGGATCATGAACTTTGTTTTGTTGTTAACAGGTCTAGTCACTGAAACATATCCACACAAAACTGCAGACTTTTCTCTGACCAACAGCAGAGATGTTTAGTACATGAGAGAAGAAAAAATTTAGATACAGTTAGTGAATGTAAACCAAACACAAAACAAAACAAAGTTTCACCTTGTTTCCCAGCTCCATCTGTTACACCGACACAAGTGCAGGGAAATTAAACCCCTAATCCTTATAGTTTTATTGCTGTGAACTGTAGACATAATTCAATGAGTCTGTTCTATGTCTGCTAATATGAACTGTTCACAAATTTGAGATCGTAAATTTTCTCTGTTCTAATTGCCTGCAGATTTTTAACCAAGCACTCCTGGTTTGCTCGACTCTCAAACTAAACCCTTCTGCTGGGGCAACTGCTCACCTGAACTCCACTGAGGAGAGAAACTAAATTTGTAAAATTAGAGCATGTTTAAAAAATACTAAATCCTAGAATCTGAATGCAAAATAAAGCTAATTGTCTTCAGTGTTAACCCAATTTGTTGTAAACCCAACTGTGGATAAACATCTTTCCATTAACACCACAAGACTCTGCAATAGCCTGCTTTCTGACCAATACTGAATTTGGCACTGTTCTAGAAGGGACTCTGATTTTTGTTTTAAACCGGAAATGCTTCCGAGGTTACCAATACCCTCTACTGCCTCTATGTTGAAATCCAAATCCAAACATGATGTTTGTTTATATACATTATGCACCTATCATCAGACTCTTCATACTGGGGGCATATAGATCAATTTTGCTAAGCCGGGATAGCAAATATACTTTGTCCCTTAAAACTTCTAACTACTTCTTTCAACTAAAATTTGACTACAATAAGCGACACGCATTGACTGCTAATATAAAATATGTAATGTGTAATGTAATGTAATATAGTAATGTGACAAGTTTCTGTTGCCAGGATATGGAAGCAAGGTGCATAAATAGAGTTAAGGTATGGATCAACTGTGATCAAGTTTGAATGTTAGCAGAAGCCCAAAGGGTTGTATAACTGAATATATCACTACTTCTTCCCCAGGGTTAGTGCTGATACCCTTTTACTGCTGACCCATAATCACCACTGTCTTTCTAGCACTTTACAATATCATGTTGAAAAGCACAGTTATGACATCCAGTGGCAGAAATTTGGTGCAGCAACTTGTGTATTTTCTAGTTGACCTGGTCATATTTCTTCTGCTTGACTTGAACAGGAAGCACAACAGAACTGTTGCACTGACCTGAGATAAATTACATTCGTGACCTTTTTCCTGAAACACTATTGAAACTTTACAAATGCCATAGTGTGTGATATTTCACCTTCAAACTTTATTGAATTTCTCAAATGTATTCCTCGACCAGTTAAAGTGTCTGGGGATGATGTCTGACACATGAAGTATAGGGCTGTGCCACCATCTTCTCTTACTGCTTGAGCACCAGTCTGTTGACAATGTGCCTGAGGTAATAACAGAAAATGCTGGTAAATTCTCAGCCAGTTGATGATTTGTAGCTGATGAAATGCTACATGTCAATGACCTTTTGCTCAGCCTAAAATATTCACTCTGTTTCATTTTCCACAGATGCAGCCTGGCCTGCTGAGTACTTTCAGCTATTTGAGTTTGATTTCAAATTTCTACATCCACAGTGTTTTTTGCTTTTGCATTGTTACTTAACAGATAGAGGCTGCCACCAGTTCAAAGTATTTTAATGATGTCAGGGATGAGTTTGAGCCGTAGGCTAGACTGCGTTCTGCCTGAGCACTGCAATTGTCAGCACAGCCTCCAGAATTAAAGAGAGAAAGTTTTTTTTTTATCTTTTATCTTCTGTCTACTCCTAACCTGACTGTTCTGTAGTTGGAATGGATACAGATTCCAAGGGACAGTACAGACTGCTAACATGTACTGTTAAAACCCATGAGCGAATGTGAAATATGGCGATTTCCTCATCTCCCTGAAAGTTGATGCCTGTAGGAAAGCTGGCAAAGGAAAATAACAAAACACAAAAAAGCTATTCAGTCATTTTGAATAAATGCATTCCCTAAAGCAGTCTAATCTCATTGGCGAATCAATTGCCCATTTGGCATAGTAACTCAATGCACGAAACATTACAACATGACCTTTAACAGTGTATGTTGTGAGTGTGGACTTTACAGGGCATGGCAATTATATAAAAGTTCTGCTGGGAGACAGACCATTGACACCTGGTTGCTATGGGAGAAAGAAACCCAAAATGATACCTGTTGAAAGCCAAATGACAGTTTTTATACCTTGGAGGTAAAGAGTCAGTTGAATCTTAAGGATAGAGAGCGAGAGATGCACAGAGAAAAAGATATTTTAAGTTGAAAGTCTTCAGCTTAATTGTAAAAGTGGATGGTTAAGTTTCTTTAGATAATATAGAAATCTAAGGATTAGAAAAAAAGAGGGATGTTATGTTGTTACATAATTTGTAAAGACCTAGGAACTGCTTGTTGATGTGCATATTTACAGCTGCACTGCAGTCAGGTACCAAAAAGAACAATATAGCAGTCCAACAGTAAACGGAGAGCTGTAAGAAATAACACTTGATGAATCTCTAGCATTTTCAGTCCCCAACTGTGATTACCCAGATTGGACCTGGAAGCTGGAGGAGGTACGAACAGATTAGATAGCCAACAAGGCCTCAACAGTTTTAAGGAATTTACAAGGTAACATGAGTATTTCCTTTGCAGCTCCCAAATATGCTGCACATAAACCTCTGTAGGAATATCGGGGTATGCTAACCTAAGGAAATGAAATCCTCCTGTATTTTTTGTACTGAGCAATCTGGCCATCAATGACTGGTTTCATTTATGGAAAAGTATTTTGAACAGTTTCAATTCTCCCTAACAATAGGGGAGTGGTATTTGCAAGGTTTCCAATAAGTTATTCACATCGGTTTGGGGATCACTGAAGAGGAGCTCTAAGGTAATAGGCAGTGAGTGAGAGGGAAAAGGAGAAAGAGATGTAAACATTAGCAGTGCTGCAGTTAGTGCTGGGAAGGCTATCACACTGCCACAATTTCTGTGTGAGGGGCTCAGTGAGGAATCAAGACCAGTTGCATGGTCCCTGCTGTTAGAAAGTTCTAGGAATTAACAGGCAACTAAATATTGGAGTCTGAACCTGAGGAATTGTGAAGGAAAAGTCCTTCTGTTAGGTGAAGCCATAAAGAAACCTGCAAGCATTAATGTTCCAGTGGAGCTGAAAGAGTGGGGATTGAAAAGCTTATTATTTGCCTGATGCTTGAAGGAGAAAATGCTGCGGTGGTAGGACTGTGCCAGTGGATCGTATAGGCAGAGGAAGGAAGGTGGTCGACTAGAACAGGAGCAGTCTTTGAGGCAGTCCATGATGAGGCAACTCAAAAGGAAGTTTCAAAGCCAAATGAGCAAAACTGAATAAACTTGTAAACCTTTGTCATGTTTAATGAGATTTGATGATCCACTGTGCTATTTAACATTTAGAGGGAATTGCTGTGAAATTGTGGGAACTGTTTTGACCACATTTGCTAATTAAAGGGTGCTGTGGCTGCTCAATCACATCCTATTGCCTATTTTCACCAGATGTTAATGTTAGAATGCATGTTGTGCATGTGTTGCAGATTGTAGTACTGTACTAACGTTGTACAGTGAAGTTTATTGTTGTTTGTTCAAAACTGTGAAATCTTGTGGCTTTTTCCCTCCTACTAAGTGCCTGGATGTCACATTGTATCTACTTTACATGTAAAAAAAAATAACTGATTCCAAGCCAGATTGCAGCATAAACTTGGTGGCCTGGTCTAGGATCCTAACCAAGACCTGGCACACTCTCTTGTCTTGCATGGACTGTTCAGTAGGAAAATGTTGGTGTAGTAATGTGTGTACATTCATTAACCTTGCATACAAATCCCAGGCCTTCACCTAATTTGTTACTACTTACTGCACAAGAATGATAAACCACCTTTGGCTTACTAGTTTTCAATTGTGTAACTAATGCTGCCATGATTATCTTTTGAAAATCTTTTTGTTTAAGTTTATAAAAAAAAGCAGACCAAGAATGTAATGAAACCTGTAATACAGATCAGGCTAATCCTTATAACCATCATAATCAAGCCACAGCTTATTGTTTACAAATGATCGATGGGGGTTAGATTTAGTCACTTTATGTTTGCAGGAGTACAATCTCCATTATTGAAGGCAGTTGCTTCACTTGTTACAATGCAAGTTTATGCACTTGAGCCTTGGATATTAATATTACTAATGCATCAATACTTTTCCTGATTCTTTCTTTATGAATAAAACAAAATTTGGATTTTATTCATGCCAGAATATTAGTGTGTGACATTGGTCTGTGCTGGTTCTTTACTTCGTACAAACTACCCAGGCTGATCCCACTCACTGCTTTGCTTCCTATATAATGCACCTCTGTCATTTCAAATGACTATCTGATCAAGTTTCAAAAATAATTCTTGCTTCTTGCCACATGGCCGTGACAGAGAATACTACCATCGAAATACTGCCTCTGTGTCAGTCTGGATTTAGATATAAGGGGCTGGATGTCAAAGTATCACACCAACAGCAAACTGCCAAAAGACAACAGAACTTTAGCCACAAAGTTTGGGAATTTAATGAAAGATGTGCAAACAAACTGATGTAATAGAAGTTCAAGAAATGAACAAGGAATCATAAAAATATTAAAGTTACCCATTGCAATAGAGAAGTGAAAGACATTCAAATACATAAATCCATTAAATGTCAGTGTGCCTTTATCTTATGTACAGCCTGTTTGTCTTTTTCATTTCTTGACATTGTTTTGACCCAAACTGTCAGTTGTTCCCTGCCTGAATCATTTGATAGTACTCAGCTTTATAATTATATTAAGATGATACCTCAGTTGCTGGTAACAAACTATTTCTATTTTCCCCACCAAATTGATAAATGTCAAAATGCACTATTCTCTCACATGGACCTCCTGTGAATCAGCCAAAAGGCTGTTTTTAATTTTTAATTAAATTTTTAATGTTTTAATTTTTTTTAATGCTTAATAACACTCCATTGATATTGTTTCTGTCTTGATGGGCACTTACTGGCTGGCAATGTGTTGACACTCCAGACATTTCATCTGCCCCTCTACCAACCAAGTGCTTCAGATTTTATTACAATTTGAAAGGATTGTCACAGCAGCCTTCTTTTTGCTTCATTCGCCAGTTCTTCGTGGAACAGTCATGTTCCAACCTGCTGTTTGTGTTAGTAACAAGTGTGAACGTATTTCTGTCGGTGATCTGGAACAGGCAAGCCATGTTTCAAAACAAAAATTTAAACCTTTTCAATTTCTCCTTATCTTGTAGCTGGACCTGGAAAAACCAATTGAGGAGCAGGGACCACTTGATGTTATAATCCACAAACTGACTGATGTCATTCTGGAGGCAGACCAAAATGATGCACAGTCCCAGGAACTGGTGCAGAGGTTTCAGGTAAGGACACCATTCTGGCCCCAACAATGAGAAACTCCCTGTTAACACAAGGGTTAATGGGGGCAGTTGGTTGTGCATCATTTCTGCCCCAGTCCAGATTGTTAGTCCTCCAGGAATAGCCTGGAAGTCTCCAGGAATTAAACCTAATCATCTGGATGTGGCTGTGAACACTCCTGGAGGCATCACTTACAAAATAGATAGGAGATGAGGAAGGCTGATTAGCTGTGGGGATTGTTGGGGTTGCTGGTTGTGGGGGCAGTGGAGGTCAATGTGTGTGGTGGTTGGAGACATAAGCTAACAACAAAAAGAAAACAGTCAACCAGAGTTGACAACCTAAGCCCCAATCCAAAATGGAGACAACTGGTAGTCTCTTGTCCTTTTTTATGTTGAATACCATTCACACCAAGGACTATTACACCTGAATAGAAAGGCAAATAGAGGCACAAGTATACTGTCACCGCATTATTCTCTGTTTTAAATGGGCAACACCTGAAAAATGCACTTTTCATCACTGTTTACTTATACCTGGTGTTGTCTTTCCAAGTTGACACCCAACAGTTCTTTTTGTCAACGTCCTCTAAGCTCAGCAGCCATGCACAAGTTGGCAAATTTTATATTATTGCAAACCCATCACACACCCACAAATTTAATGGCCCAAACAGTTAAAGAAATTGTCTAGTTCCTCTCCAGAAAGAGTGAGAGGGAACATTCATAATTGAGAGGGACGGAATCTGGCTTTGTAGTTATACTTTTAATTGAGGGCTAACAGCAGCTGGTGACATCCCTGGAAACGTGTCTCTCTAGGTTAAGGCTTTCCACTACAGAGTGGCACGGCCTGTAGGAAGATAGTCTGTTTGCCATTGGCATTCCTTTAGTGTAAAGTAAAAATATTTAAAATTGAGCAGACAGCAGTTCAAGAGGCCTAGGTCAAAAGAGAATTGCAGTTTTATAAGCAAAGCACAGCTGGATTCATTTACTATTATAGCACATCAAGCTAATAAAATATTGTTTTAATGAAACTTGATGCTTCTATGAATCAGTCAGTACAATGCTGAGAAGTAGGAGAACAAATAACCAATAATTAATTGGGTTTGTCCATAAGTTACTTTTCCAAGTTATCTTCACGATGCGTTGGCATGAGGAAATGTGCTGGGCTATGTCTCGCGTTCTGCTGCTTCTGAAGACGTTGATTCCTTGTTGGACATGATTCCTTGAGTGCCAATCCTCCTGTTGCTTGTCCAGCTGGCTGGCATTCGTGTTCAGCCTGAACTTAGTGTGTTTGGAGGCCTTTCACCCTCCATTGCCTGATGTTCAGGCCAGCTGCTCCAACAATGGCTGCCTGACAGCATCCAGGCAATTCTCAACCCCAAAGCACAGAGAACCATTTTAGCCTTAGTGCCCAACCAGCTGAGGTCCGCTACTTCAGATCTTCTTAGGCCTGCATTGAATTGAATTAACTTTATTGTCACATGTACTCCAATGAGTACAGTGAAAAGTTTACAACTCACCACTTCTGGCGCCATCTTGGGTACAAGATACCCAAGTATTTAGATTCTTCATTGCAAGTTCTTAGGAAAAAGAATTAGAAAACTAAAGATATATAAAGCCCAGCATTATAAATCATAGAAATAAATTAGAAAACAGAGAAATAAATTCAGAACAACAATCTTCCAATCCAGTGCACGCTGGCACCAAGCCTCCAGACTGTGGTGGGCGTCCTCTCGAGGCTGGGAGACCTCTCTGGAATCACCTCAGAAGTCCAGATTTTTATTGTCTTTATTTCTTTGTGATCCATTTCAGATGAATTGGTGACCCAAAGTCTACAGTGCATTATCACTATTTGGGATAAATTTGGTGCCATTTTTAAAAAAAAAAGTGCTTTCTCTTTCACCATGAAGAAAACCATCCACTTTGATCTTTCTGTTTATAGATTGTCTCAAATTTTGACAAATATATCTCTGCAATAACTGTTTGCATAAAAACATAGAAAATAGGAGCAGGAGGAGGCCATTCAGCCCTTCGACCCTGCTCTGCCATTCTTCATGATCATGGCTGATCGTCCAACTCAATAGCCTAAACCTGCTTTCTTCCCATAACTTTTGATCCTATTCGCCCCAGGTGCTATATTTAGTCACCTTTGCATCAACTACTTGCTGTGGTAATGAATTCCACAGGCTCACCACTCTTTGGGTGAAGAAATGTCTCCTTATCTCCGTCCTAAATTGTCTACCCCGAATCCTCACACTGTGACCCTTGGTTCTGGACACACCCACTATCAGGATTTTCAGCCCTTACTCCCCCTCTTCATCCTCTCGCCACCTCTACCACCATCACCACATTAATCTTTTTGCAATTACAGCAACTGTGAGATCTAGTTCATCCCAATGTCTCCAGATTTTAATTTTAACTTCAATAACTCTGCTGAGTCATCTTCTTTCTTCAGTCACGCAGTAAATCTGACCCAGCTCCACATTTTGTAAAACAAATAAACCTTGCATACTATGTTGTTTATTTGAATGTTCCACTTTAACGTAGACACCACTCTGATTTATTGCTTGAGATATTTTTCCCCATTTTGCTGTTGCATTTAGCAGATTAGATATTTCTGATCCAGCTGTTCAGGCATGTTATGACACATCTCTGGATCAAGTGAGTCTTGAACCTTGATTTTATGACCCAGAGGTAGAGCCACTACCACTGAGTCGCAGGAGCCCTTACACTGGATTCTGAATTTGCTTTGGACGAAAAAATTAAAATATCCCAAGTACAATGTTATTTTTGTGTAAATCTGGTATTGTTATTCCTACTACCCATGTGGTTCCCTCCTCCCTCTATTCTCACTTTATAAAATCAAGTGTTTGCATAGGCTTCTAATTCAACTTCTTCCGAAGAACAGGTTTTCATGCCCCTTTGCCTCAGGGAGGCAAGGACAAGAAAGATTGATGGGGAGAGGTTATTTCTGTTACACAGCTCGCCGGGATATCTCTCAGTTAATTTAGAGGGGCAGAAAATCAGTCAATATTTGCTGCTTCCTAACTCAAACATCCAGATTGGAGGCAGTTTCCCATTGGTGTGATGTAGTTGCTCCTGTTCTGGTTATTGCTAGAATACTGTGCTGCACCCTGTGGTCCTGTATCAACATTTTGTTTTTTTTTTAAATTCATTTTCAGGATGAGGGTGTCGCCAGCATCCCTAATTGGCGAAAGGGCAGTGGAGAGTCAATCACACATCGCTGTGGGTTTGGAGTCACATGTAGGCCAGACTACGTGAGGATGGCAGATTTCTTCCCTGAAGGACATTCATGAACCAGATGGGTTTTTCCGATAAATGGCAATGGTTTCATGGTCATCAGTAGATTCTTAATTCTGGATATTTTTTATTGAATTCAGATTCCACCATCAGCTGAGTTTCTGGATTAATAGTCTCGTAATAATATCAATAAGCCATTGCCTCATCTCCTACCCACATTATAGCACTCGTCTCCTATTACCCCATTCCCTTGACAACCTCTCTGAAGTACTACTGCCCTCTATGCAAAGTACTTTTCCTATATGCCTGTTCCCATTGATTACTAATTTTCCTTTCTTCCTTCCCTTTAATGATTTCTGAGAATCACCCACTTCTACCCACTCCCAACCTGGTCTGTCCTACAGTCCAAAGTGGGAGATGATGATGAAGTGTTAATGTTCGCAATCCGGAGGCTAACATCCTGGGATCGCAGGTTCTACTCTCGCCATGGCAACTGGTGGAATGTCAACCTGATTAATTAACTTTTTAAGAAAAAACAAAATCCCAGAACTGAAATCCAGTCAACAGTAATGGTAACCATGAAACTCATCTGGCATTAAAAACTCATTTGGTTCTCTGAGAAGGAAATCTGCCATCCTTTCCTGTTCTGGCCTACATGTGACTCCAATGATTGTGTGAATTAAAAGTGTTTTGATGCCGGGCGCTTCAATTTGTACTTTGCTGCACTCCTGTTAGCTTCAAGACTGAGTTCATCAAGCGCCATAGGGTCTTGAGGACCTGAACTGTCCGTTATGTCATCCATTCATTCTGAACCATAGACTGAAGACGCATACATTCTTAGTTGATCTGAGATAATAAAGCTGCTACAATTGGCTTTGGGACCCTGAGGAAGCTTGGCGTTTTCCATGTATGAGTGACCCTTTTGTAGGTACACATCAAGACAAGATAACTGATATTCCCAATGCTTGCTGGATGAGACTTAATGACGAGCCCATGCTATCAAAGGGCCACCTTCAGAACCACACCATGAGTGATTCAACAGAGGAGAAGTGGGGATAAATGGGCATCAAAGAAGCAAGCAACTTTTTGGGGAAGGATTTTGAGTTGTCAGAGAATGAAATGGTGGGGTGAGGATGTGGGGCAATCACCATTTGAAGATGTGAAGCTATGAAAAATAAGTGGAATGAGTGCTGAACTATTGTGTCTGTACTTTCAGGACTATATTGATTCACATCCAGAGACCATCATTCTGGACCCACTGCCTGCAATCAGGACCCTGCTGGACAGATGCAGGTCATATGAGCTGATCCGTAGACTTGAAAGCTACATGCAAGGTATGTAGTTTACCCATATTGCTGGAATTCAAAGCAAATTGCTAATTATCTGTTACAAAATGTATGTTATTAAACCTGAATAATAATAGCTGTTTGGCATACTATCAAAGCCCCATGTTATCTGAAGAGAGTTGCTTGTGACATTATAAGTTATAAGCCTTCCCACTGCAATTGTCCCAACCTTATTGAAAACTGTGGATTCTGAATGGGGAGTTGTTTTATTTTGCAGGATGCAGCGTGTAACATTTTCCTGGTGAGAATAATCAAAGTACTTGGTGTGAGGAGTGAACTCCAACGAGCATAAACTGCACTGTTAATTCTTTTTCCTGGATTTCCTGCAGTCTCCAGCTTCTTAGGAGCCATGCCAGGCTCAATCCACAGATTCAAAGCTTTGAAATACTATTTTCTAATCCAGCATTTTATTCACATGTGGACCAATACCATCCTTTGACATTGGAAATATTGCCCATCTACATACTCCAGCCCCTACTATCGGACAGTTGAATCCATTTGCATTTACATCATCTCCAATAATGTCCTCCTCTACAAACTGCACTTTACTCTGAACACTCTAAGCTAACACAAAAGGCAGAATCCCATGCTGGCCAGAGGGGAGGGCCTTGCTTCATGTCATTCAGGGAAGCCCCTTTGGTAGTTCATGCAGATCAAGGAAGCAGCCCTGCTGACCTCAGCCTGGGTTCAGGACCTTGCTGGGAGGGGCCAAGCTCTCACTGGCCAAAGGTTTCCAACTGGACGGCGGCTGCCACCTCTCTCCTGAATGGCAGCACCGCCTGGGGAGCGAGTGACTGTGTGTTTCTGGAACAACAGTCACTCGGAGCCACAAGTGAGGGATTGAGAGGGGAACTTGTGGAATGGCAGGTCCACAGGGGAGACGTTATAGGTGAGCTGGCAGAAAGAGAAAAGCAAGGTGCTGGTTCTCTGGACCTGCCCATTTCCTGATGCCAGGATCTTCAATCAGGCGTGAGGAACACGCAGGTTTGTTTGCTGCTTATGCGTGCTGCATGGCATGTTAGGTTAACACCAGTTGAGGCCAGGATGAGGCCCTTTGCAAATGGTCACTAATTGCCTCTTGTAAGCCTCATTTGACAGCAATGCAGGAAGGCCATTCACTTAATTGGGTTGGAGAGGGAGCCCCTACCTGCCACCCTCCTGCCTGATTAATGCCAACACTGCCACCAAACAAGCCCTGTGAGAGGGCATGGGATTTTACCCAATGTCCTATACTTGTGCTGTACCTATTTATTTCAAAGCCCACTATCTCCCTGCACCCAGTGAATTTAATACTGAGGTTGCTGTCCTTAATCTTTGAATCCTTCCAGAATCTCATTCAGTCCTACCTCACTGCATACATGCCCTGCTGGTCTGGATTCGGAGTCTGTTTAAACCATTAATTCCTTACAGTGGATGGACAATCTGCTCTGGTGATATTGCAAGAACAACAATGGTGTTGACCCACCCTGGCTAGCATTTATCCGTCGGCCAAACATAGAAGAAACGAATTATCTGATGCAAAGTTCTTCCTTTCTTCATGTGTTTATCCCTCAAATCAAGAGGCTTTTTGAATCCATGTCCCTTTGTCTTAATCTTGGTATTTAGTTTAAAGTGTAATTCCAGATTTACTGTGTATGCTTGTGTGAAAGGCAAAACAAATGCAGAGAATGTCAGAAAAAACTCAGCAGGTCTGTTAGCATCTATGGAAAGAGTTAACATTTCAAGTCTGCTACAACCTTTCTTCAGAACCAGTTCATACTGGACTTGAGACATTAGTTCTATTTCTCTCCCCACAGATGCTGACAGACCTACTGAGTTTCTCTAGCATTCTCTGCATTTGTTTCAGATGTCCAGCATTCACAGTATTTTGCTTTTACTCGGGTGTGTAAAAAGAGGCATTTTTTTAAACAAAAACAAAGTTGCTGGAAAAGCTCAGCAGGTCTGGCAGCTTCAGTGAAGGAAAAATCAGTTAACGATTCAGGTCCGATGACCTGCTGAGCTTTTCCAGCAACTTTTGTTTTTGTTTCTGGATTTACAGCATCCGCAGTTCTTTCGGCTTTTTTTAACCCCAGATTTTAAGGCAGGTTCACGTCTACACGTTATCAACAATAACATATGACACCTTTCCCACTTCCGGTTCATTTAAGATCACCTCTTAGATACCTTTTGTTTCCAGCCAATGTTCCTCACACCTTTAGCTTGGATGCTTCTTGCTAGTAATTAACTTTATTGCTTTTCTCCACCCTGTCCTTAAGCTTAAGTCCATGTTTCTCCCCGTGCAGTGTGATACTTGAGGTGCATTCTGACAAGAGCACTATACAGTGTGAATATGACATCCTTTGATTTATTTACCATTGTCTAGCTCAGCCTGCCATTGATGATGCATTACCTCTCTGCTCTGCTCGACTATCCTCAGCACCAAGTCTATTAAATGCAGTACTTGTTTTAAGTGCTTTTCTAAGTGAGACTGACTGGGCCTTTGGAAAGTGCCTGCTTTTGACGGAATCGTAGAATCCCCACAGTGTGGAAGCAGGCTATTCGGCCTATCGAATCCACACTGCCCCTCCAGAGAACATCATACCAAACCCACCCGCCTACCCTATCCCATCCCATTTCCCATGGTTAACCATCTAGCCTGCACATCCCTGGACACTAGCAATTTAGCATGGTCAATCCATCTAACCTGCACATCTTTGGACTATGGGAGGAAACCCACACAGGGAGACTGTGCAAACTCCACACAGACTGTCAACTAAGGGAGGAATTGAACCTGGATCCCTGGCGCTGTGAGGCAGCAGTGCTAACCACTGAGCCTCCGTGCTGCCTAGAGAAATGGGAAATTTGCCTGCCTTTTGGAAAATAGATTTGGAATGTCAAATCATTGAGAAACTGCAGGTGATGCTTTCAACTTCAGTGGATCAAGATGGAATAATACGAGGAGTTATCAATAGACCCAAATACTCTATCAACTTAAGTAACCTGCTCTCCTGACTGAGAATGTTCAAGGCTAATGAAGGAGAGTTGGGATAAGCCACAAATGCAGCCATATCTGTGAATGCTCAAGTAGTAACACCTCATTATGGCTGCCTTTTGAATGCTGCATTCTAATAGCACCTTTTTAGCTTGGCTCCCAAAGCTGTAGCCTCAGAGACTTGAATGAAGGAGATTGGCTGGCTGACGGATCTTCTGTCAATTAAAGCATTACAGCAAGTTAGGGAGTAATGACTAGGGTAGTAATTAACTAAAATAAAGCATGACTCAAAAGAGAGTCATAGACCAGAGGTAAGGGAAAGATGGGATCATTCTGTCTTTTTTTTTAAAAACTGTAATCTTACTTAATTTGCCTGTTGCTAAACATCTGCAGTCATTTTGACTGATTTGTCAACAAATGCATTTCAGAACTGGTCTAAATCTGTTTTCTGAAGACAAACCATCTCTAAGTTTTGAATGAAATAAGTGGCTCTCCTTGGGACCAGGATGATTTGAGGGTTAAGTGAATGTTATTGAAAAGAATAATGCTAAAGCATGCCAAATGATGAATGGTCTGAGCAGCTAAAATCTCATAGACTAAATACAGAGCACATAATCTTGCAGAATGTTAAACAAGATATAGCGTCTGCAGTTCCTTGTGGGTATTGTGCACTGAAGACGCCATAACAAACCTCACCATGGCCAGAAGCCTATCTAAAATCAATCTAGTGTGCGTTTGTTTGATTGAAAAATCTGCAGTTCATTGAGTTCTATGAAATGTGAAGCTCATGGTTTGTTTAAGTTGGCTGGAACCAGTGGAATACTGTTGAGTGCTTCTACTGGTTCTGGGGCCTAGTGTAATTTAAGTGAGGCGAATCAGCCTTATTTCCCTGCATGTTCATGTGAGCAATAATGGTTTGGTGTGCATCCAAAGAGGGAAAGCAGCTTTATTCCCAGTTTTTCATTTGCAACTGAGGGAAGATGGCTTCCTAAACATGTATGGGCTTGAAATAAATGTCAAGAATCCCTCTTTGCTTAGATTCGGGTCCTGGATTTCCTGCTTCTTTCACTTTGCTAGTAAAGGTCATTAGCGAATGATGACAAATTTTGTGTAACAATTCAACAACCAATTTGGCAGAAGATGGGTTCAAGTGCTAGATCAACCGCTTGATAAAAATAATATAACTTTTTGGATTGCTTATTGCTGTTAGATTATTCTTGTACTGATGAGCATCTTTTAAAGTTTGATTACTTCATAGAATCACTTGCTCAAAAGACCGTCCCACATCAGAACTTTTCATAAGTCACCAGCAAGAATTGGCATTATTTGAACACATTGTTAGCATCATCCACTTCTGTTAAATACTTCAGGGTGTTGTATTTGAATGAGCCAGCATGTCATCCAGCTTCACAAATGTGAGGTACTGCCAACAGTGGATCTGTACCCTAATGTTAAGCAATGGTCCTCAAGAGGAAAGATGTGAACTGCAGAAAATTCATGTGCTGCATGAAGGAAATGTGAGCAATATTGATCCTTCTCAAAAGGAAGTAGAATAATGACCATTAGGATGGAAGCTGGATCAGTTCGAATTACTTTGTGTTGTTTGAAAGGTTGATTTTGTTTTTTTCTCTTGGGGATGCATTGTGGATTCATTTTCTGAAGAAGGGTCCAGACCTGAAATGTCAGCTTTCCTGCTTATCTGATGCTGCTTGGCCTGCTGTGTTCATCCAGCTCTACACCTTGTTATCTCCTTTTTTTTTTTCCCTTTCTGGCCTGATTTCCTTTCCTGGACACTGTCACAGCTTGCTTTTAATTGCTGAGAAGAGTTTGCTGCTCTGATTCTAAGCTGTTTTCTTTTCTGTGTTAACTCCAAAGGTAAAGTTGCCATGAATTTTTGCATCTGTAGAGCCGTCTGTTGACCATGTAGCAAGAACTTTGTCATGTGCATAAGAATCTAGAATGTTTTAGTAAGGTTTTTGATTTAACAGGCAAGGAAGAGTTGATGTTGCGATTCTAC